TATCTAGAAAACCCCAAGGATTCATCCAAGAGACTCCTAGAATTGATAAATGAATTCAGTAAAGTCTCAGGATACAAAATCAATACACACAAACCAGAGGCATTCATATATGCCAACAGCAGTCAAGCCGAAATTCAAATAAAAAACGCAATACCTTTTACAACAGCCTCAAAGAAAATTAAATATCTAGGAACATATTTAACAAAAGATGTGAGAGACATATACAGGGAGAACTACGAAACACTATGAAAAGAAATTGTAGATGATGTAAACAGATGGAAAAATCTACCTTGCTCATGGATTGGTAGAATCGATATCGTTAAAATGTCCATACTACCTAAAGTGATCTACAGAATTAATGCAATCCCTATCAAAGTACCATCATCATTCTTTACAGATCTAGAAAAAATAATTCTACGCTTTGTATGGAACCAGAAAAGACCTTGTATAGCCAAAGCAATCTTAACTAAAAAGAACAAACTGGTATCAGTCTACCAGACTTTAAGCTGTACTACAAGGCTATAATAACTAAAATAGCATGGTACTGGTACAAGAACAGAGACATAGACCTTTGGAACAGGACTGAGAATCCAGAGATGAAACCATCCGCATATGGTAATCTAATCTTTGACAAAGCACACAAAAATATACACTGGGGGAAAGAATCTCTTTTCAATAAATGGTGCTGGGAAAACTGGATAGCTACATGCAGAAGAATGAAATTGGATCCCCACCTCTCACCTCTCACAAAAATCAACTCACAATGGATAACAGACTTAAACCTAAGGCATGAAACCTTAAAAATTCTAGAAGATGTTCGGAAGACCCTTTCAGACATCAGCCTAGGCAAAGAATTTTTGAAGAAGACCCCCAAAGCAATCACTGCAGCAACAAAAATAAATAAATGGGATCTGATCAAATTAAAAAGCTTTTGCACAGCCAAGGAAACTATCATTAGAGCGAATAGACAGCCTACAGAATGGGAGAAAATATTTGCTCTCTACACATCCGATAAATGGCTGATAACAAGAATCTATCTAGAACTTAAAAAAATCAACAAGAAAAAATCAAACAACCCCATCAATAAATGGGCAAAGGAAATGAACAGAAACTTTTCAAAAGAAGACAGAATAATGGCCAGCAAACATACAAAAAAATGCTTAACATCTCTAATCATCAGAGAAATGCAAATCAAAACCATGATATCACCTAATCCCAGTGAGATTGGCCTCTATCAAAAAATCCCAAAACAACAACTGCTGGCGAGGATGTGGAGAGACAGGAACACTCTTACACTGCTGGTGGGACTGCAAATAGAAATACCATTCAATCCAGCAATAGCACTGTTAGGCATCTACCCAAAAGAGCAAAAGATATTCTATAATAAAGACATCTGCACCTGAATGTTTATGGCAGCACAATTCGCTATTGCAAGGATGTGGAAACAACCCAAGTGCCTTTGGTCAATTCATGAGTGAATTATTAAAATTTGGTATATGTATACAACGGAATATTACTCAATTATAAGAAATGACGGTGATCTAGCACCTCTTAAATTTCCCTGGATTGAACTTGAGCCCATTATCCAAAGTGAACAAGATCAGAAGAAGGGGCTCCACTTGTACTCACCATCAAATTGGTACTAACTGATTAATGCTACGGTGCTCACATGGCAGTAATATTCTCCAGGGATTAGGGGGATAGTGGGGATAAATTCGCAACTAAAGGACACGGTGAGCATTGTAGAGGGTAAGGGCATGCCTCTAACCCTCGCTTGGGTGAGGCAAAGACATAAAATGTAACCAAAATGTTTGTACCCTCATACCACCCTGAAATAAAAATAAAAATAAATAAATAGAAAGAAACAGGAAAATGAATCTTTTAAAAGAATTTCCAGGCCTAATATTAGCTCTTTTTTAGTTAACAGCATTATAATGATTCAATACTCGGCATAATTCAATAAAAATAAAACCTGAGTCAAGCTCCAAAGATTCAGGAAAAGCCCAAAGAGTCAAGTTCCCAAGAGTAAAAGGGATGACCAATTATTCAGACACACTCTGGATCTGAAAGCTAGGTAAGAGAAATGAGGCCCATGTATTGAACCCTACTCAGGGAAGTTGGCCTTGTACAGAGAAAAATTCTCTTCTATATTACCCTTAACTTCTCTAAAACTATCCCACCAATGCAAGTTGGATTTCTGAAAGAGACAAGAGTGTGAATATATCAGAATAATTTTATCCTATTACTGAAAAAAATTAAATCTGTAGGAGATATGAGTGCCTCAAATGAATTAATATTTTGTTCATCTTTGCAGCCTCAATGAAATAGCCTGACACAGAATAGGGCAGGCATTTACTAAATATTACTTGAATAAGTTAAATGTATAAAATGTGTGCTTAAATTAATAGCTCACATTATAACATTATAAATACAAGAGATAAAATTAGGCAGAAAAATATTTTTTTAAAAACTAATTAAAATAATACAAATAGTTCATTGACACAGGACCTATTACTATAATGTTAGGAATAATGGCAAGAAATTAACCAGCCAACAAAACTGTAACAAGGAATATTTTGTAGTTGTGCAAAGAAAGGTCAATAATCAAGAAAGTTAGTTTACTATTTTTGCATGTGAATGCGTGTTTTATTTTTAGTTGGATTTTGTTACCCAACTAAAATTGAGAAAATGCCAGTCCCCACAGCCTCTTTCCCATAAATATCACTGCTTTCCAGAAGGAAGAAAATCTCTTAAGAAGGATATTATACTAAA